TCTTTATTTAAGTAGCGATAGTGTTTTATACGAGTTCGAGTGTATGAAATTTAAGCGAAATCTTTGCGGGCAACTATTGTCGTTCTATTCGATTTAGAAAAATATCCTCGTCGTGAAAATCCTCGTTCTAATATTCCTGATTGTCCTGTTTGATTTTTAACTTCACCGTTTAGTAAGTCTAACTTTCATCGATGTATCCTCGACTTATCCTTCGTACACGGGCTAACCGAGGCTTATGGAAATACTGCTGCATCGTGGGAGTACATACGACAGTGGAAAGAAGCTTGTGTTATTAGATTTTCATTGGCAGACATGAAGAAACGAATTCGTTACTGTCATTAGACGAGATCGAATAACTCGGCAACCGAGAGAACCAGAATTAGGGTAAGGCTACCCCGAAGAGCAGTAGAACATAGGGAATTAGCAGAAACGAAGTAGTAGAATTCCAGAATAGAGAAACTAAACGATAACTTTGAAGTACCTTCGAAAATCGACGAAACTCGTCAACCAAGATCGAGTTTAATTATAACAGATGCATCGTTCCTTAAACTACCCTCTTACCCAACGACTAGGTATAGCAATCGCGTTAATACACGGTACACTAGAAGAATTGTTTAACAATCGTATGCGTATCTGCTGACTTATAGAATTAAATTAGCCTAACGCTTACGAGCTAATTTATTGTCCGTCTTGGAACATTTCCTAATATTATTTATTGTCTGCTCACACAGTATTGTCGGTTATTATTAATTTTATATTATTCCTTGCTTACGACTACCTGTTGTCTGGATACTAAGGAAGACTTTTATTCTCTAACGCGTCTCGGGGATGAAAAGTGAGCATTTCCTTCGAAAAACAACCGTTCGAATCGTTTAGGAAGCGGGAGCAAGCATCGTACTTCCGGAAATGGCTTCAATGAGGGAGAGAAATGTGGAAGCATTTTTAACCCGACGACGATGAAACGTTTCCGACCAGATCAACTGAAATCTCTATACAAAAATTCTCCCTCGCGAAAGTTAGGCGGAAAACAATCCTCGTGTCTGAACGGTGAAAGAGTATCCCGAACGGGAAGGTAAAGACTCGAATAAGAAAATGGCGCGACGAAGAAACTAGGTGGATTATTGTCCTGACCAACAATACCGCTATTCTTATCGCTTAGAAAAAGTCTAAGTCAATTAGTAAGGCTCCTAGTATTTTTCTCATAAACAATATACATATCAAGTGTAAAGTATACTCGTTTCAAAAACTATGTTCACTTTTTATCTTCTCATCTGGGTGCGGATCAAAAAGGTGCTGGTGCAGAGTATTGTCCCTAGGATTCAGTCAACATGTGCTAATCTAACGTCTAGGTGCTCTAATGAATCGCTACAAGCAGGGCTTACAATATTTTAGATATCATCTTTTGGCTCTTATCTCGTCGGTATCATCTCGAATACTTTTGTCTCGAGTAACCGTATTCGCAGCACAAGCTGGGAGTGAGTATATCAATACGTATATTGGTTAAGCTTTAAACAGAGAGCTGAGATTTCGGGTTGGATAAAAAGAAAGAATATTAAACCGAGATACGAATACTTTTTCGACATTTAAAATAAGGAAATGAGGTTTGCGAAGAATAAGAAAATCACTAGATATGGTGACTTTGACAGACTGAAACGACGTGAAAGACCTTTGCTAAATGGTTAATGATAAGAGACTTTTCTGGAAACGATCGATTCCAAAAATGAAGTAAAACTCAGCTCCGATCCTATCGCTTACATAGTCTATCTTTACATACCTATTTATGTATACTTCTTCGTCTACGCTAACACGTGTGCTTTATATTAGTATACGATTAATACACGAGTACATACGACAGTGGAAAGAAGCTTGTGTTATTAGATTTTCATTGGCAGACATGAAGAAACGAATTCGTTACTGTCATTAGACGAGATCGAATAACTCGGCAACCGAGAGAACCAGAATTAGGGTAAGGCTACCCCGAAGAGCAGTAGAACATAGGGAATTAGCAGAAACGAAGTAGTAGAATTCCAGAATAGAGAAACTAAACGATAACTTTGAAGTACCTTCGAAAATCGACGAAACTCGTCAACCAAGATCGAGTTTAATTATAACAGATGCATCGTTCCTTAAACTACCCTCTTACCCAACGACTAGGTATAGCAATCGCGTTAATACACGGTACACTAGAAGAATTGTTTAACAATCGTATGCGTATCTGCTGACTTATAGAATTAAATTAGCCTAACGCTTACGAGCTAATTTATTGTCCGTCTTGGAACATTTCCTAATATTATTTATTGTCTGCTCACACAGTATTGTCGGTTATTATTAATTTTATATTATTCCTTGCTTACGACTACCTGTTGTCTGGATACTAAGGAAGACTTTTATTCTCTAACGCGTCTCGGGGATGAAAAGTGAGCATTTCCTTCGAAAAACAACCGTTCGAATCGTTTAGGAAGCGGGAGCAAGCATCGTACTTCCGGAAATGGCTTCAATGAGGGAGAGAAATGTGGAAGCATTTTTAACCCGACGACGATGAAACGTTTCCGACCAGATCAACTGAAATCTCTATACAAAAATTCTCCCTCGCGAAAGTTAGGCGGAAAACAATCCTCGTGTCTGAACGGTGAAAGAGTATCCCGAACGGGAAGGTAAAGACTCGAATAAGAAAATGGCGCGACGAAGAAACTAGGTGGATTATTGTCCTGACCAACAATACCGCTATTCTTATCGCTTAGAAAAAGTCTAAGTCAATTAGTAAGGCTCCTAGTATTTTTCTCATAAACAATATACATATCAAGTGTAAAGTATACTCGTTTCAAAAACTATGTTCACTTTTTATCTTCTCATCTGGGTGCGGATCAAAAAGGTGCTGGTGCAGAGTATTGTCCCTAGGATTCAGTCAACATGTGCTAATCTAACGTCTAGGTGCTCTAATGAATCGCTACAAGCAGGGCTTACAATATTTTAGATATCATCTTTTGGCTCTTATCTCGTCGGTATCATCTCGAATACTTTTGTCTCGAGTAACCGTATTCGCAGCACAAGCTGGGAGTGAGTATATCAATACGTATATTGGTTAAGCTTTAAACAGAGAGCTGAGATTTCGGGTTGGATAAAAAGAAAGAATATTAAACCGAGATACGAATACTTTTTCGACATTTAAAATAAGGAAATGAGGTTTGCGAAGAATAAGAAAATCACTAGATATGGTGACTTTGACAGACTGAAACGACGTGAAAGACCTTTGCTAAATGGTTAATGATAAGAGACTTTTCTGGAAACGATCGATTCCAAAAATGAAGTAAAACTCAGCTCCGATCCTATCGCTTACATAGTCTATCTTTACATACCTATTTATGTATACTTCTTCGTCTACGCTAACACGTGTGCTTTATATTAGTATACGATTAATACACGCAGCGCTAAACACGTATGTATTATAATTTTTACCTACGTTAACAAACGTACAACTTAGATTAGCCATATCGATAATACTCTATAGTAGGCTCTTACAATTACACGGAACGATTACTATAAGTGCACAGATGCATCTGATGCAGTATGTGCACAGAAGTTTCACCGATGTTGGGTGTGCGTCTGTAAAACTCGTACAAAAGTATCGCTAGCATCTTTTAAGAGAAAAAAGATCGTGTCCTGTTTCGTAGCCATTTTTAATATTTCACAAAAAAATCGGGATCCTTTCGATCCTTTTTCAATCAGTTCCCAGATATATGCGTTTAATATAGACGAACAGGTAACGCACACCCCTCGAATCGTGATTATCGACCACTTGGTGGCACGTACGCGGCTCTCCAAAAAACCGACGGCGATAGAAAATTGTATCCTTTATTATTATTATCATTATCATTACCGTTATTATCGTTATTATTATTGTTGCTGTTACCATTTTCCTAGTAATAACGATTACCGTTGATATTATTATTAGTATCATTATCGTCATTATTATTATTACTTTATCGCATCTGATGCGACATATTTTTCACCGTGTCCTTCGCTTTTCATTCGTCTCTAACTTCGACGGGACATTTGCACAGTTTTGCTTTTTGCTTCGACATCTCTTGAGCAGAAGCGGCCATGGATTTTCCAGAAAGTGGCGACGAGAGCTCGTTGTCCGAAGCTTTTCCTTTTCCTTAATATATTCCCTATTTCACCTTTGCTTCCGCATTCTTATCTAAGTTTCTTATCGTAAAGTGTAAAAGAAGTGCTTGGAAGTTGATCAACGTAGAATCGAAGGAGCTGACCCTTGCTGAGATTGTTTCAAAATACTCCGTGTAGAAATGGAAATAGAAATGCAAAAGTTCGGTCTGAAATCTTCGAAGGGCTATTGTCATATGCTATAGAAAAGATTAAAAGATTACGAAACTGTTATCCAATCCACGTCGACCAACTTCCTACTCTGACTCGAACTTCATTGAAGCAATCGTACAATTATCCTCATTAGAGCTCGATCACGTTTGTATCTGTCCTCGTTATTCTTCTTCTATTTGTCGGATTTATCGTCGTTTAGAAACGAAGTTAGGAGTTCACGGTAAAAATACACGTTACAAGGGGAACGTTTTACTAAACAGGGTACAAAGACTTCGAACTCGTGGCGTCTGTCGTAATTGAGATCGTATTGTCTTTATAGAGAAAGATATTCTCGAAAATTTCACTGGTGTACAACATTTCAAAATATGCTATTCAAAAGAGAATTTGTATCAAGTGAGTACGATTACTTTTTGTCTTTATGATAAAGCGAAATTTTTATAAGCTGGTAGATCAACGCAAGAGGCTGGAATAATCCCGCCCACCTAAGTGTATAATCGCTAATTCCCTCAAAACACTCCTCGACGACGTGTAACAAAGTTTCCTAATTTCTCGACTAGGTTTATTGTCGTTCAAATTATTGTCTTAACTATATACCTGAATACCTCTTCGGTGAGTGACTTCTTCGACTTGTCCACCTCATCACCTTCGTCGTTTTCATTTTCTAATTAAACCATACCTATGTCGGAGTACTTTGCCATCTCGCTATGTATCCAGGACACGTATTTTGGTACGTTGGCATACACCCCTGGGAGTTTCGGATGGGCACACTTTATGCCCCAACTTACTATTCCTCCGACAAACCATTTCTCTTTGTCTTCTTCGTCTTGACACAACAGAGGTCCTCCGGAATCACCCTGTCGATTGAACAAGAAAATTCGACGAAAACTCCGACTTTGAAAGTTACAAAATTTCTATTTCGTGGCATCGATCAATTCCCAAATTTACCTGGCATGCATCTTTTCCTCCGTCCGGATATCCAGCGCATATCATCCCGTCAGTGAAGTTCGATACTTCGTGCGCTAGCCAAAGCTTGCATATTTCTCTATTCAGGACTGGAACTTGAACTTCGTTCACAGCTGGTTCGTATTCGGAAGCTGTGTAAATTGATCTGGTTAAGGTAGTTACTGATGATCGAACAATTTTATATTTGGTATCGTTAAATACATACAATCGGTATCGTTTTTCCTGCCCCAGCCAATCACAGTGCACAGCGTACCGGGTATCAAATGAGCGTCAGCCTCTGGCAGACAGACTGGCCTTAGATGTTCGTGAAATTGCACTCGTTCTTCAAGCTGAAGATAAGAAAACGTGATTTTATTACAATTTATTCAAATATACAGGGTGTCCCAGAAATGGTGGTATAATCGAAAATAAAGAATAAAATTTTTTCATTCAAAGCTTCGTTGTCAAGAAAATCGACTTCGAATATCCACCGAGTATTTCTCAATGATTTGCTTAGCAAATAGTGTCTCGTCAGTTACTAGATGAGAGAGATGTACCTGAAAGAGAGCCACGTCGTTGTCTTGAGCGACTTCCAAATTGTAATTCGGATGGGACACCACTCTTTTCACCTTCAGCTTCTGACCAAGATAAGTGTAAGAGTGCCTTCTAGTAATTCCTAACTGTATCGTCCATCCAGTTACATCGGTGCGGCTGAAAATTCAGAGGTCGATTATTTTCCTCGACTCTAATGCCTTTTTCTCAGTAAAATTCTTAAGATGGGTGCTACTTACTTTCCCGCGCAATGAGACGCTGTCAGGACCCACTGATCGGCGATCAGGACCCCGGCACAATAGAAAATCTGTTCAGGACCTCCAAGAAGAGCTGCCAGAAACGGCCAGTCACCAGGAGCTGACTCCACGCCACCTACGATCCTCGTCTTCGCTCTCGAATTCCCATAAACCGTGGTTCTTCGTCCACAAGCTGAATGCGATACGTTTGTGATGATATAATGCAAGGAAATTAATACATCGTTTAAAATAAAATTCGAAACAGCGTACCATATTCCGAACACTTCAACTCAGCCGTTGGATAGGCTTCTTCATCCGTGATGCATTGCTGAAATTCCTTGAGAAGATTCGTCTGCTGATTTCCAGGATCTCTGTCAGTAATGTTCATACCCAACGTGATCAACTGGGACGAGAGCGAAACCCTATAACGATTTTATGACAGACTTCTGCATCCCCGTGACAAGATCACAAACTTCACATCGGTTGAAAGTGGTCTTACGTATATCCGAGCATGGAACAGATGGTTTTGGCGGAATTCTGATTCCAGTAAGGGATGCAAGCTGCCATGAATTTACCCATCCCTGCGTGGTACACTTCCAACCTCCCTTCGCCTATGTCTCCGTTTCTCTCGCTCAATCTCACTGGCAGGGAATTTACAAGAATTACTTTCATCGGACAAAAAGAAATTAACTTGGATAAGATTGGAAATTAATATTTTACTAAATCCCTCTTTACGTGATATTGTAACTATACTACCACTCTGTTTCTACCCTCTGTTCTATCTCTATCTAATCCCACGATTCCCCGTGTCCACTGATCCCCCTCATCCCTAACTACGAATCTAATCATTTGCCCGCACCGAACGAGGGAAACAAACTAATCCACAATCAAAATGGTCCACTTACAGCAGTATCTTTCGTCCTGACCCCATGGACAATCCATTACCCCGTCGCAGTTGTGGTTCGGAAACATGCACCTTCTTTCTCCGCAATGCCAGGGCGACTTCGAGACTGGATTCTTCTTCATGATCTTCGTGCTGAAGGCAGAGGTGGAGGAGGTGGAGGTGGTACACTCGCCGCATCCAATCTCGTCGCTGTGATCCGCACAATCCAAGTGACCGTCGCAACGCCAGTCGACCGGAATGCATCTGGTCCCATCGCATTGGAAGCCGTTGGTGCATACTATGCAACGGATTCACCAAGAAACGGATAACAGTATCGCTCTTTCCTACATACCACGTGCCATTTCTTTCTTTCTTTTTCCTCTTTTTTCTTTCTTTTTTCGTCTCGTTTCTACATTCCACCATTTTGTTTTCCGTTCAGAGCTTTCAATCATTCCACGACAGAAACACGCAGTGGAACGTGGAAATGGAAAAATTAGAAGAACGAGGGATCGAGGGATCAAGGGATCGAGGGATACATGGTAAATGGCGGTGATTGACTTCCAGTTCGTTCGTTGCGAAACTGCTGCATTATGGATTATTATAGTTTCCCATTATTTCTCTGTGTGCAATTTCGGGAATCAATAATGTTAATTTTTAGTTCAGATTTCCAGGTTTGGGCCTCTCTTTCGAATGAGTAAATCGTTAAACTGCAATGAAGCTAAGTATATAAGAAGATCGCGGAATTCTGAGGGAATTTTCAAACATTTGCTTGTATTTAAGTATGAAAATATTTCACTCGATCTACCAATAATTCTCTTTTAACAACACAAAAGTCCTAACTTTTGTGATTCTCCCTAGACACATATGGAAAAGAAAGTACGATTTTAAATTCCATCGAGAAAGATAAAATTTGTTCGTCTATTGGCTGTAATCTAGCCATGAATCTCTCCATTGCATTTAAACATCAGGTTCCTCTCTGTAAAACGACGAAGACGTCGCGTTTATGGCTCTTTGATAAATGCTTATTCGCCGCAAGTATACCGTTTAAGATATATACTCTCTCTCTCGAAGGAAATTCCATAGAGCAGGCCAGCATCGAAAAGCGCCCATCGCGCGATCGTTTGATATAGATTTTGCAATTAGGACTCCATTAGCAGCGACACATGCGTGCACGCCGAATCTAGTAAACTAACACACGCTGATAGCAAACGAACGTCGACAGACACACGTGCCTTTTATCTACCATAAAAACCATACGAGTTCCATTTCTATGAAAATCATTCCCACGTTACGACTAATGGAATCTAACTTAAGGTATGACCGAAATAAATCAATTTTCCCGACGTGTTTCTTATCGCTCACAATTTTTTACCGGATGCCCAACTGTAATCGCTAATATTCGAAACTTCGATTCCAAATTGTACGTCATTAATCCCGATCACGTAGGATTCTTTCGAATCTCTTTCAGAAATACCCCGTCAGATATAATTTATGCGGTCGGATATATGCAAACTCTCTCCGAGAAACCGAATGGCCCATTCGATGAGGGGAAAAAGTGAGTGAAAAAAGCGCGTTGGTCGGCGAGTTTTGGAACGTCGCCGTAAATTCGCATTGAAGGGGACGCTCGAAAGGGATTCTAAATTTCCCCGATATTTCCAGTCGTCGTATAAATAGCGGTGAAATAAAGGAGACAGGTTCATGGAGTCGAACGCGCAAAGGGAAAGAAAGCGAGAAGCGTTGAACCATAGAAAATCGCTCGATCGGAGTGACCCCATAATCGGGGCGCAATTTAATTTTAATTAGCCGCGAACGCGAATAAATAGCTTTATCAACCGGCCCTGAATCGATCCTCCATTGCGTCCTCGACGGTCAGATCGATAACGAAAGATCCTGCTCTTTCACTCGACTTCGATTTTGGTAATTGCATCGTCTCAAGACCGGCGATCTTTTAATCTCCTAGTTGCCGGGACGTCCGACCAGAATCAACTTTTATCACTGAACGGAGAAGTGGTCGCAGCGGGAAGTCGTTCTCTCGTTTGTTCGAGCTTTCCCGATGGGATGTTTGTTGACTATGAAAGAGGGTCGTTCTGTAACATTTTCGCTGTACAAAGAATAAAATTTATCGAAACGAATGAAAAATAAATTACATTTTTAAACAGAAATCTAAATTTAATACCCGATTCCTATTTCATCTTTGATCCTCTGAAACCGCTAATTCTCTTGTGTTTCAATTTACCTCAAGAACTTCCTACTTGGTATCTGTATAAATTGTTCGATGAAATTACAAATAATTCGATTTCCATTTGTCCTAACTCACCCAAGCCCGCACGACAAACATAACGATGGTCGGAATCGAATTACGCCTGACCAATGGTGCGTGATTCCACTGCGACCTAACCGTGGAACCGAAGATAATCGATATATCGGTTCGATCGTGCAGGTTAAGAATCACCATTGAAGGTGCAATTAGATGGAACCTCGAGGACGATTAAGAAAATCTGATTGTATCGAAACGACCGGTTGGCCGAGGCTTCCCGCCAAGCGGAGAACGGTCAACAATGGAGGCCATTTCGTGGCGAACAAAAGAGTCGTACACGTGGACGAAAGCGCGAACAATGAACATAGGTTTAGCAGGTTAGTCGGCAATTAGTCTCGTTCGCCTCGACGCGATGGAATTGCTTAAACAAAAGACGCGTGGCGAAGTCGCGTAAATATTTCCGGCGCCTCATTGTTCCAGTGACTAGGAGACGTCGCTGGTCGAGATTCGAAGGCGGATAGTTTTGCGGTCGTGGGTGTTTACGGAGATCGAATTATTGTCCTTGTTTTAAATCGCAGGTTCTCCTTTATACTCCTTCGGCGTAGGTGTATTATACCCCGTTCGCTGGGTGTTCAATGGTCTAAAATATGGCGTCAAAGTGACATCGATTCGAAATAATTATTTGCTTCGAGTTTAAAAAATACACAAATTTCTGGAAGGTTTGCGGTTCACAGGCACGTTTTCTTAATTCCAGCGAGGCATAGCATAGGAAGGAACAGGCAGGAGGAAATGGTCGGGTCTTCCCGTCGTTTTATCACGGATCCGCCTATACCGTAGCAGTCGCCCGGCTGTCTCGGCGAGATTATTTTAATCCCACGATTATCCACCTCTTTATCAAATGCTCGGACTTTATCCTTTAGGCTTATCCTCGGCGAAGGAGCCGAATAAATGGCTGCCGAAAATGACGAAGGACCCATGATCGACGGACAAAGAGCACACCCTCCGATTCCATTTCGCCTCTTTCGCAATTTTTTTACCTAGTTATCGAATTTCTCTACTGACCAAGGATTTTCTGATAATTTTCGTTTTCTTCTCATTCTACGATGCACCTTTACTCGAAATTGCAAGATATTCAGAAGGCAGGCAGATAGCTAAATTTTGGAAGTAGTTCTCTGTCCGTGCAATCAAGGGGCATTGATACAAGAGGTATAATTATGGCTTACCAGGTCTCTCTGCTCTCCGGTCTGCCTCTACCACTTCCTGGTGGCCCACACACTTGTCCGGATTGGAATTCTCCAAGAACTGGTTGCAGTCCAGAAAGTATGACAGTGTCAGTCCAAACACGTCCAGAAAGAATCCACAACGTCTCATGGTATCTGAACAAAAATCAAAATCCCTTGAAAAACAACTCTTACAGAATCCTGAATCAATTTCGTCAAATTCGTAAAATAAAATTTCAAGTAGTATATACCAGCCGCTTGTCGGACAATGTCATTTGACCAACACTTTGAATGAAAATTAAAAGATCTCGCTGAACATCCAAGAAACGTCTCTAATAAGATATCCAAATAATAATAGACCACTTACGAGAACAGAGGCTGCGACAAGGTAGAACAACGTGGCCACGAGAGCCGCATTTCGGCACGAAAACGCTGCAGAGGAAGAGGGCGGCCAGTTCATAGCACCTGACGTCGATCACGGAGCCAAAAGGCTCGAGCATGTGCTGGGCGTCTCGCTGTCCGTGATTGCCAATGAAATTCGGGAAGATGGTGAAATTATACGGGATCTAGGGGAATCGGCAAACGAAACGGCACACGTAAATGCGTCTGGCTTACTCCCTTTTAATTAGAACGTCAGTCGTTCCGCTGTCCTTCGCGTGTCACAACTCGCGACGAGAATGGTTCTACTCCTCTCTTTCTCTCTTCAGGGTAAATACACGGACGATTCTGAATGCTTTCGATTAAATTATTTAGATGTTTGATAAGTTTCTATTTCAGGATTGTCATCGGGAATTGAATTTTCCTTCATATTTACCAACGATTCGTGAAGCTTGGTTACTCGATAGAAAATTTCGGATAGTCAAATACGCAAAGTGCTACTCACAGAAGCGAATTTCGGATATTCACGGGTTACGAAACAACCGGAAGACAAATATCCTGAACGTGAACGAGCAATCCCCGATATCCCGGGTATCTTGCGCATAGCTGAACGGCTGTAAAGATGCTGCGATCGAACGACACGCGTGACGTACATTGTTTTAATTCGACTCGACGAATCCCGGGAATCTCATAGACGAATTCCACGCGATCTTATTGGAAATTATTTCGAAGAAAATCGCGCACGGCACGTGGACGACCGGACTTGGAGGATTTACCTTATGGTACTGGCAGAACGTCACGATTACGGGCAGACACACTCCCGGCGCTGGATTCTTCTCCTCTATCACTGCCGGAACTTGCTCCGTGAACGCGATCATGTTCGTGTAGATCGTTTTGTTCTCCAGTCGTATAATCGTCTCTGGATACGCTGTGTACACAATTTTATCGATTGAAATGGTTGAAATTACAATTTTGCAGTTGTAAATTCACGTTCATCTTGTTTGCATTTTGTTTACGTGGATGAATCGGAGAAGTTGCAAAGGAGGTCTACAAATAGAACCACCGATCGTTAAAGTTCTCGATAGGCTGTGACACCCTTCGAAGACCGGAAATTACTGTTTTAAGATTAACCTTTCACATTTCGTCGAGTAGTATTTTACCACGTACCCTTTGACCAACGCACGCCTAATGGATGCTGCAAGGAAAGTATTGTACGACACGGTTTTCATACGCTCGAGTGCCCTCTGTCATTGTGCCCCGGTATACGCGACACGTTACGAGGCACTCTTTCAGGAACTCTAGCGAAACGTGCAATTTTCTCTTCTCAGCGACGTTTTCTCCGAATAAACTCGAACTTCTCTCGGGAAGAAACTCTTTTTCCTTAAACCAACAAAATCCCACACTACACCGTTTCACTGTCGACCCTTCGTATGACACACGTGGCAAGAGGACAGAAGCGACGCGGTTTGAAATTACGATTAATTAACGGTGACACCAGCGGTAACACCAAAGGAAAAAGCCAATCGTACGTAGCAAACGACGGGTGCATTGGACAAAGTTGCACGCGAAGCCGGTGTTGATGTTTGAAAGCAAGTAGCACGCGGGAACTGGGAGCTCTATTGATCTTCTGCTACCACAAAGCTCTTCGTGCTACGTGCTCGTGCATTATACCACCTAACGTCGCCAACATTTACGTTTGTCACTGACGATCGCGCAATATCGTTCCTCTGACACGTTTCATCGACGATTCATTGCGATTAGCTCGCGCGGAATGGCGGTACGTCGTGGATAAATGGATGCACGATGCGTTTTAAGATTGATAAAATGGAACGCGTCTGCTTACTCTTGAAATAGACGGCCAGGCCTCCGGCGATGATCAACAACGCTACGGCGTTGAAGAATACCTGCATGAATCTGAACCGCAATCTTCTGGTGGTTACGTAATGGCTGCTGGACATGTCTCTGATGATCTGAAAGCAATTTGCAAGAGGTGATGTTAGAGTTGACGCCGACGATTTTTTTCTCCTCGGTAGAGTAAGCATTCTCACCATCGGAATATTAACGCAATTCCTTTTAGAGTAGTTACTATCTGCGAAATATGGTAGGACGTCAGTTAGCCGGCTTAACCGCGAAACGAACGACCTGGATAACTAGAGGCATTCACGATCGAGTACTTTATCAAGTCACTGAGACAGTGAACAATCGAAAAGAAGATTTTGTGAAAACGAAAAAGAATCGTAAGACGTGTATAAACGCTTGTTGTTGATAAATAGGAATCGAGATTCTACTGTAAATCACATTCGAGATTCTGTTCTAAAATTTATGTATTCTATATGCTAAAAAGATAGCAGATCGATCAAACAGCTCGACATAAGACCGCTAGGAGTCAAGAGTATATGAACCTTTTAACAAACCTATCTTCTAACCTGTCAACTACCTAGACCAAACAATTTTCCATCATCCATACAGCTCACTTTTCGCCTGTTCTCGTAGGAAAACAAGCTTCCACGTCCCCAGTCGGAATAGTACAGATTTTGATTCGCTCTGGGACAAGAGAAATACTAGCTCCACGGCTTACATAATCTCATGCCAGTGTATCGAGTGAATTGACGCAAATATTAGTCCCCGGTGTCAAGTCGACAACATCAACTCGCAACAGATTCCGTGTTTGAGAAGTCAACGCACCCTCGCTACGTGTTGGTACGCGATAGTCGACCCTTGGTCGGTCAATATCGATTATAATTCCCGCCCGGACCTATCACGTTGGCAAAGGACAAATTACGTTTGTCGTCAACCCGAACAGCCGAATTCTGTGTCCCTGGTCGACTTTGTTCGGCCATGGTTCCTATGAAATTTCCATTACTCTCGAGAAAAGCGAGCTCTCGAGTAACGCGACGATAATTTCATTGGCAAGTTCTTTGCGCTCTTCTCGTGACTTTTCAGTCTACTCGACGGGCGCAAAGGGGCCATTAGTACCAATTAAACAATGTAAATAATAATATCGAGGTACCTAATTTTATTACTATCTCCGAATCAACCTGTACCATAAATGAGAAGAAAGGATCGCATGAAGAAGTAACGTATCCGCGTGACTAACGCTGCAAGTAGTCGCAAGCGTCATTGATCAGACATGCCCCGGTCAGACGATTTCTATTTCCATATCTCTTTCGATTCACGAATCTCGGGTTTTATTTCCATTGAAACATCCCATAAACGAGATATCAAATTATACCGAAGCGATCGTTTTTAATAAAAGTGATCAACGAAACTCGCGCGAAACGAAAAAATAGGAACGAACGAGGCAATTAAAAGAACCAGCTGCGGACTCCATAAACGTTGCTTCACACCAGTCCTGGAAATTTCGCGTTTATTATCGCGTCCATTGCTATTTTCGGCGTTAATAACAGCCCGATGTTCGATACGAAATGATATTGGCCACGGCTCCATACAGGCTTCCGATATTACCACTATCGCACACATAATTCGGAAAGAACGAGCGAACGTTTCTCCAGTTCCGAACAAAAGGAATAAATGACGCGGATTATCGATCCCCATGGAAACGAGTAACGCGAGCCTCCAATTCGCGTTACATTCTGTCACAATGATCCTGAATATCCTTTGCAAGAACATCGCGAAATTTGAATTTTGCATCCCCAACTCGTAACCAGTGTTCCTACTAACTCATAGCCTGTGTTCCTAACTCGTAACCTGTGTTCCTAATTCGCAATCCGTCCCGAACTGTGTCCCGTCTTATCATCTCGACCATTTCTCGTCGAAAAAATCTTCGTATTTCGAAATAAAATTCCACGCATTCCCTATTTCAACGCGAGAGCCACGAAACGAGTACACGACTTCCCGTTTTCGATCGTTCCGCAATCCGGATCGATTCTCCGGGCGGATGGTCCATCTTCCGACCGACCAATTAAATCGAACCGACTTCAAACGTTTCCGGCTTTCTGCAACGTGTCAACAAGCTCGCTTTGCAGTCGACGTTGGCCTCCATATTCGTTCGCGCTCGGCCGAGCGCGCGAGCCTTCAGGAATCGCTTGACCCTTAATTCCGCGTCTATCTCTTCGTCTCCTTTCCACCCTTGCTCTTTCGCCAATCCCTCTCTCTCGCTCTTCCTCCGTCCTTTCCACGTTACGTAACAACGGCGTGGGAAACGAACGCAATCGATAAACGGCGAGCGCGAAAGAATTAATCGTGCCGTTTTCACCGTTACATAACGCCTTCGTTTCTGCGCATTGAAAAGCGTCCTAGGTCCGCTCACCTTGTGATGCAAGGAGCCGTTGTTGCCGCCGTGGACCCTGACGATCGCCTGCAGACTGGCCGGCGTGCTGGTCGACTTGGTGATGGTGCGACCCGACGAGTTGTCCGGCTCCGACACCATTGCTCTGTCTGAAAATTTCGTCCAAGAATTTCATTAACATTACCAGGATGGGAGGGTATATGGTCGTGGGCGAGCATCAGAAGTCGAGATACTTTTAACTTCGGATAATCGGTAGGCTGTATTCCAGTCACGTAGAAGCCTCGCGATCACTTGCTTTTGCAACAAACCAGTCGCCGGTGTAATCGAACAGCAGACGCAAGAGAAACGACAGTAAATGCGGGGATGATTAATCGAGATCGATTTTTTAAACCTGGGTCAGGGTAGGATGAAACACGTTTCAGCTGGCTGCAATTGAATCGTTGATCCCGCGTATCGCGGAAAAATTCACCGATACGGCTGAAATTTTTTGTAAAAGCGATGATATATTGGCACAGAGTCGAAACTAAGAGCAATCCCAACGTTGTTATCCGCAACACGAAAAGTTTCCCTTGGATGATTGATTCAATTGTTTCTGGCAAATTGGTAGACGCGTTAGTTTGGAAAATTCCGCGAATTTGTAACGTAACAGAAGGTAAACGATGCCAGACGTGAAGCTAAAACGTGTCACGTACTACTGACCATCAGTTACGAACCTCGATCCATCAACCATACTCGCCGCAAAATGTCTCGACCACAGGATCGGTAATATCACGGTCGAACACGTTTACCGAGCACAGAAATCGAAGAAGTATGTTTCTGGAAGTTCGACGCTTGCAGGATCTCGACAGGTGTAACAAAAGTTCAAATTTAATAAGCAAAACAGGAATCCGAATTAGTCCCCGTTACTAATGAAACGCCGAATAAAATCTAGATTTATTCCGTTTGCTACGATAACTATCCAACCCTTGTTTACCTGGAACCTTGCCGTATTTGTGAGGCAGAAGAGGAGCCTCCATGGTCTTGCTGGTGTAACTAGGCGAACTGGTCTGACTGAAACTGTCCGAGGAAACGTTGCTGTCCTGCCGGACGCTCATAGGTTTCGGCACAGAGCTCTGCGAGATCGCACTGAGGGGTGGTGGAAGGTTGGTCTGCGTTGCCTTCGGTAACTTCTCCAATTTCTCGTAGTTCTTCTTTTTCCTTAAATTGTGCTGTAAAATATTTCTGGCACTATCCATCTCTGCCTCGTATTTTCCGCGCAGTGCCGCTTCCGTGGATTTCTGCTCGGAATGCAGCCGTCTCTCTAGGTCCTGCGACGCTTTCTGCAACTCCTCGTACCTGATTTTAGTAAATGAAAAATGGTCTGAGCCAGCTTTCTCGCGCTTCTCTAAACTGAGCTTTAGAAAATATCGGTGAAAACCTTTCGCGAATTGTAGAGAAAAAAACCTCAGCAAATTTGGAATCCATCGTCAACGTTAGAAATTTTCCAAACTCGAAAAGAAACGTCTGGAAGAACTTACTTGCTGACTGGCCTTTCCTTGCAACCCCTCGGTTGGTCTTCCTCCTCGTGCAACCTTCTCTCGAGCTTCTTCGAAGCGGCCTGAAGCTCCTCGAACTTGCATCTCTTCTCCGCCTCGCGATGCGACCTCACCAGAGCTGCAAACTTCGTCTCGTCCTCCTGCGGTGTCTCCCTCCGCGGTGGGGCAATTTTCTCCAGAGACTTACCGTCTGCAGCTTCCTCGCAGATCTCCCTGTCACCCTTCTTCCTCGTCTTCGACTGAAGCCTGTCGAGCAAGCGAACGACCGAGCATCGTGAGTTAGAAGGCACGAAAAAGTTCGCGGAGAAGCATGTGGAATGGACGGTCGATTAAATTAGCCCCATAAGTTCCGTCGTCGTTTGATTTATTAAAAAAGTACACCATGGAGTTTTCCAAAGTGAAATTACCACCACGGAGATGTATGTTTCGGCACTCCTTTGATGTCTCTGCCACATTTAACCAGCCACTCTTCCCTCTTTGTTTTCTACGAAGTGTATGGGGGTTGAGGGATTCTAACACGAAGTTTGTAATAACGAAACAACGACCAAGGTGTTCACGGGAAACAGGTTTCTGTTAAACTTTTGTTTCCAGAATGGGAAGAATTCTAAATTAAAAGCTACGCAAACTCGTTACTTTTCCTTCCATTCAACCCCCCAGAGCTACCACTAATAGCTACGACTTTTAAAACTGTCAAACAATTTCGGATAATGTTAATTCCTCCTTTAAATCTTCCCAAACCCCATAAGGCTAATTGCTAGTTATATAACAAATTATCGCTGCACCTGAATTTTTTTTTCTCTTTGACAAACTTTCTGATCTCCTCTCAGGAATCTATCTGGTACCATGTAGGTACCATACATCTGAATATACGAAATGCTCCACGTCCACCGAATTGTAAAGTATCAGTCGACGTTCCCTCACAACCCAGGACGCTTTTCTCCTCCACCCGTGCACTAAAACGCATATGGCGAGCTAGCAGAGAATTACATAAGGCCGTTTACGAGCCCCGTTTCAACGAAACGTCTGCTCAAACTCGGAAATAGAGTCGAAGCTCACGCTTCGTTTAGCCCGTCGCGAACGTAATCGGCCATAGCTCTCTAATTCGTGTGCCAGAGACAAGCTAGCTATCCCTATACCACGCTCCACAGGACTCTTCTCTCCGCTCGAACGCTTCCGAACGGTCACCGCTAATCGTTGTTCGCGAGGAAAACTAATAGCTAATAGTCCTTGCCGGTATTTCGCTTTTTCCCCCGGAGAAAGTTCCCTCGCTGCGAAAACTCGCGTCGCGACGCGCGTGCAACGAAATTCCCTAACGCGATTTCGAAACACGGTGACATAGTTTAGGGTGAACCGACGTTACACAGGAAATTTCATTGGAGCCACGACTTTGACGCGAGGGTGGTTTAAAGGGAAGGGGGATCGGAGATGTGGGGTTTGGAATGGTTTCCCGGAATAATTGACTGATTCGATACAACAGGGATAATTTCGTAAAAGTTTGCGTGGGAATAGCCTCGATACCTGCCTGAAATTTAATTAATTTATCGCGGAATGTAAATTCTTCTCGATCGCAGTTGCACGATTTATTACGCTTCTATGAACTCTTGGTAAATCCTCTACCTCGATCAACCCTCCATTTTCTTCTTCATCCGCAAATTGTATTAGCTTCGCTTACCTGTTGTTCTGCACGTTCGCTCCCTGCCTCTGTCTGCCTTCTCTAACCGTCTGATGATCTTTGAACTTCGACTCGGCACTCTTCACGATCCTCTCGTGCAGCCTCTTCTCGAGATCTCGCGACGCCTTCTGCAGGTCTTCGAAACTCGTCTTCTCATTCGGCTTGGAGTCTTCCTCGAAATTCGCTTTGTCGAAGTCAGCCACGAAATCGTCCTCCTCATTAGCATCCAATGACTCCTTGCTGGTAAAGTTCAATGCATACTCCTGACTGCTGCACGATTGGTCCTGAGCCCTCGATGGACCTAGGTCGATTAGCTTCTGATTGTTCGAGTCGTGAGTCCAGGAAGAGGATAATATCGACGAGGACGGAGGAGTCGGGTCGCTGGCTTTCCGTCGATTCGTCTGACCCTCCTGCCTCGTCGGCAGCTGTATCGGGATCGGTTTCTCGTTTTTGCTTCGTTTCGGGATCGCTGGCGGCCGCAATGGTATCGGTGGCGGAGCTACCTGTGAGATCAACAAGTTCCTCGATAGAGTTCCCCTCGTGCTCGCTTTGTTCTACTCGATTGAACTGCTATCCCCTCGAGGATGCACATAGCGGAGAGGAAAAAGCTCCTTCTTTGACTCGCATGCAAAATAAAAGGAGAAGAAACTGGATAAACTTATTTTTTCCTCAGCTATATTTAACTTTCCTTTACCGATCGCTTCGAGTGTTCTTTCTTTCCTGAAGATCGTTGAAGGAACGAGCCTCGTGATGATAAGAATAAACATTGACGCTCGATTGCCCGATTTTGCCAAAAGAAGGGAAAGGAAGAGCGCAAAGAAAGGTGGAAAGCTGTTGCGTTAAAAGATACTTGCAACTAGACTAACACCATGAGCCCCCGTGTGTCCGTGTGTGCTGTGTGTTGATGATTGGGTGTGCGTGTGCTTAGAGTGACCATTGTCCCGGTGTCCAGACTCGTCTGTGCAAAGAACGAATTCAGCTTGATCCATTAAACCCTCGTTTGTCCGCTAATTACGTGGACCTGTTCAAGCAACGAGGAACGAGTTCTACGACGGGAACATGCCGGAGGACATTTTATTCCTCGTTGCTTCTACTAGATTTACTGCGACCATTTAAAACCTGCTTGCTGAGATTACGTCGTCGCTGTTCGCCTTTGCTTTGTTAATTCGCTAAGTGTCGGGACGTTAAACATTGCCGGGCAAAAAGTTCTATGGCTCGCCGTAATACCGACATGATAATATCCTCTCTAATTGCCTTTATAATCCATCCGAATTTTTTTAATCGCTCGTGAAATTTACCACTGCTGATGGAATACCGTAATTCGTTTCATCTGCAAAATTACTTCCCTATGTTCGACACAGGCGTACATGAAACGCGCTTGAAATCACAGCGAACGTTTAAATCCACAATTGATCCGCAAATTTTGCGTTACTTGAACACCGTTACCGAGAGATAGAAAGATAGAGCGAGATATACGGATAATGAGAAATTTTCGACAGAAATATTCGCCGAATTTCCGTCCGAATAAAACGGTCGGAGAAAGGTGTGAATTAAACCAGAATCGGGTATTAATTGGAACAGCGAAACTATTTAAACTTTTCTTACCGCAGGTGTGGCGGAATGGCGACGCGGTATCAGCGGTGGAGCACCACTTCCGGCGGACGGGGGTTCCGGAAGCAGGGACGTTCGAGCCGGTAACCCGACGCTGTGGATTCTACTCTGTCTGAAATTTTACGAGAAAATATTATCGCTGGGACATAAACGAGTCGGGGACAGATTTAAAAATGAATAATGGCCTTGCGCGCTCGCGTAAAGCCTCTTGCCACGAGCAGCAAGAACATACTCGGGAAGGCATAATTCTCAAAGATATCAATTGCTTATTGCCCGTGCGTCTTTGAAGGATCAGTGGCGCTAATTAGGCAGCTCGATATAACGAGAGTGCCCTTTTAACCGAGCGTGTCCTTTGTACGAAACGAACTGCTCGAGATCCAAGTCCATGGACGCAGAGAGTCATAGAAGCTCGAGATCCGGGATAATTAATACCTCGATTAATATCGAGGACGAGCTTGATACATCCAGTGTGGAGAACGTATTCAGAAGTTGGTAACGAGGACATTTGCAGTCGGTAGAATCGGACAATCAACGATCATTCTCACGGTCGCGCCGAGGCAAGCGAAAACTTTCGTTGTAACGTCGTTCTCGCGCTTTCTCCTTGAAACTTATTCCCCGTAATTAACGACGGAATGATCGCGAAGGAAGGGAAAGTGCGCGATTAAATATCCCGCTGCGTTTAGACCCAGCTTTCGATTACGAAGTAAGAAGATAGGCGGGAAAGTTTTCGTCTTACAGAGGCGATCTAATTCAATGAGCAAACGAATCAAGAGCGATCCAACTCTGGAAAGTTACCCCATTAAACGCGGGAAAATTTGAAAAAAGAAGAAAATTGCGAATCGTACCGACTTCCGCACAGTCCTCGACACCAACTGAATCAAGAGGGATTACTTTTTAATTACCTTGGCTGACGCGTGGGACTCGTATCGCCGCCATGTGCCTCCGTTCCAGACATTTTAAGCGCTGCAATCAACGAGGAGAAGACAATTCAGCATCGGCAAACGAGAGCACATACCGGAAATCGGGCCCGAGTTACAGCGAATCGAACCCGCGTGAAAATCAACCGATAAACCAACATGGCGTGCCGTCGATTCGACGCGCGCTTCCCCGAGACCGGTTAATTACCCGGCGCGATTGCACGAACCGCGTTTCCAATCGTTGCTGAAACTTCGGAAAACGCGATTCACCAAATAACTTCGAATTTAATCGGGAATTTATTCACGAAATGACAGTGGAACCATCGCGAACAGCGTATCGGAATAAACAAGCGGAATAAAGGAGAAAAAGGTCTGAATCATCACTCGCGTTACAGAAACGAGCCGAAGCAATCGATATAAATCCTAGTTTCCCGGCACAGCGGTTCTTTTCTTTTTCGAAAGATCAAAGGAAATCGAGCGAACAGAGAGAATGGATGAAAAGAAAAGAAAAAGGTCGACGCGGGTTAAAAATATGAGCCGAGTGCCATCGCGCAGAAGGATACAAGTGGGTCACATGGTTTGAAATAAGGGAAAAAAGAATGGAACGGAACGATGGACCGCTGGAGCTTGTCCGAGCAAACAGACGCTTCGCGCATGGTGACAGTGCCACTTCGGCTCACTATCAGACGAAAGCACTATTCAATTTCCTGCTATCTCATCGGCGTGTACACCCTTCCACGAGGGTTGGCCCTACCAGACTGCAGCCGGGGATCGATGTGCCGGAATCCACCCCCGCGCCATCGACAAAAGCACTCCGCGCCTCTCTGTAACACTTCCGTTTTAAATACGCGCCATATTCGCGTGCCCCCTTTGTTCCACGCTGTCCAGGCGGGCACGATTTTTCCATTCGGACAGCAATTTAAAGCGAAGGCTAATTCTAGTCCTTTCATAATCTATAATCCTCTCGTGTCCCGTCTCTCTCATCGTACTTCAATGGTGCTTGAGTTGTCCAGGTCGTAGAAAAAGAATTTTTTGTCGAAATGAAATTAATCGAGTGACTGGTAACGAGGTGTGAGCGTTCTGGCGCGAAAAATTGAAATAGTAATTAAAATCGCGAAGCAAGAAAAATTCTTTGGAGATCGGGATGATAGGATCCGAAGTAAGGATATCGTGGTGAAAAATCGTGGATTCTCGTGTTCCATATATATCCATGGTTGAAATGCCAGGCACATTGGTATACGAATCACGACGAAGAGCAAACTGTTACGTAAAGGAGAAGAATTCCAGACAGAAATCTCTCGTTCCTCGAACGGCTGTTCCAAACAACCCCTTTCCTCTACCTGCATCGTAAACCTCTGGGTCAAGACGATCCTGACCCACATGTGGCCCATTGAATAAGAATCGTCCTGACCTACATGCAGCTTGATAATCGATTTTTCCATCGAGACAATGATTCCGCGAGAGGGTTTAATCAGCGGAACGGTATCCATCGACGGAAACAAAAGATCGGATAGACATCTGTTGGCCTGTGCCAAGCCCGACACGTCGTTTCATTAACTTTCTAAGGAGATCTCGAGGAGCGTGAGGCAATTTCAACCTTCAGCTTCGTCGAAGAAACAGCGAGAATTAAAGAAAGGTCTCGGGGTCTACATTTTTCATTATACCGGCACTTTGCGCTTGTCGCCAACTTTATTGCACTTGTCTCGCGTGTCGTCGCGGAAGTATAAACAATTCGCGACAAACGCGCGAATTTCTTTGATATATTTTCACGAGTATGTCACAGGGATAACACGATTGAAATAAATTGCGAGTTTGAAACTTTACCGTTGTATCGAGTGTAGGCACAATGAGGATAATCAGCATTCTAAGCATCTCATTGACATTCTACGTCGACGGGAACGCAGTTGCAAAGATCAATTAAACTCGCGAGAAATTAACGCGCCGATTCAAAGACCTGTGCAATTTTTATCTAATTTTAGTTTCTACGATTTCTGGAAATTTTGTCACTGCAATTTATAGACAACTTAGATATACCACAAATTCGTTCTACTTCAAGAACATACTCTGATATCCCACGATATCCTTAAAATTTCTAAATTCTGCTTTGATTCTGTTTTTCCGCAAATTTTTCTCTCTTTCGGTATCACTTTTCCATAAAATATTTTTCCCTCGCTTCTTTATTATTCGAAAGGATTGACGTTGGAGGAAATGACCACAGAATTACCATCCACAAAGTGACAGCAACCCCAAGAGAGGCCCATGATAGTCACGTAGACGCCAAGAATGATTTTAGGAAAAGTGGCCATTGACTGACCACACAGGATAGAGGACATTGTCCACAAAGTAATTGGAGATCTCTCAGAGAGGTCCATGGTAGTGAGCCAGTAGCCAAGATCGATTTTCGAGGCAGTGACCACTGACTGACCACTAGTGACCCTTTAGTGGACATTGGCCACCTCGGATATTCAGTCAAGGGTAGTCGTAGTGTGTTGTGACCAGCTTTCGGACACTTTGGGCACGTGGAAAACCAAATGCTCAGAAATCGGATTCGAAACACCTGGTAAGAGACACCGAAGTTCACCCATCCTTCTCGCGAACCGCGTTAAGCGATATTTAATAACGTGACATACCAGCCATCATCAGCCTGATGCTCCTTGGTATCTTCACGCCCGAGTTGACGATCCTTTAACCTCTTTGCGATTTAAGGTTTCAATGGCGCGTGCCATAATCAACAGAGTCGGTCGCACCTCAAGCCACTACGTCCGAACGCGGCGAAGAATAGCACGTAACTGAGACAGAAGGACGTAGGCGAAAATTTTAAACACGAGCTTCGACCGTGTTGTTTACGCTGGGTCCCAACTACAGACTACGCCTCTCATCAATAATATTCGTGTTTCCACGATATTCTAGGCGAAGAAATCAATGCGGTATACAAACGTTTCCAACAGCGAAACCTATATTGAATTTTAAGCTATACGCAGAATTTAGGCAAGTCTTTAATTCGATATTTCCTTTTACTTTTAAAAGGAATGTTAAAAATTCGAACTCTCGACGACTCAGGAAATTTAAATCGGTATCCATTATTGGTTGAGACGACTTTCTCAAACTCGACTAGTATACTGATGCGACTCTCGAATCTACCGGTCCTTGCAGGATGGAAAAATGTAAATTTTGCGGGTCCATGGCGAATATCGAATTCGAATAATTCCACGAACCGCGGAATGAAATTGCCTGGGCCAATGAGAGAAAAAAGGAAATTACCGTGGCCCTGTGAGCGAATTTCAATGATAAAGGGAACGTAATATTCGACGACCTGGATCCACTATTCGCACAAGCATTGATATTCCCCAATTTCTTAGGCCTAGACGCCTAGTCTGAAGGAAGAAAATTTGATCTTCTCTGCGTCTAAAATAACAAAATCGATAGATCTCTTCGATTTACGAGACGAATATTTTCCTATTACTGTCCTACTTTCACTGATTTTATTATTAAGCAAATTACGCGAATCAGCTTTCCAAACGAACGTTTGGGAATAACTCCCTAAACAAAACTTTCGTAATACACGGTACAACTCCCGGTTCGTGCACGTAAGTTATGCAAGTAATCTCGTATGCTCGCTAATACTGTAAAGACAAAAGGACACGTGTGGCCAATTCGAGAAATCTGCATCGAAACTCGAAATTAACCGCAACTCAATTACCCACGTACAACTGGACATTAATTCTCAAGAAACAAAAATGGGATTAAGCGGAGCGTTAGTACTGGAAACCTGATAGAAACCTGGTCGCAAGTAGAAACAGACAGTTTGGTCAGACCAGCGCGACACAACCCTCTACGAACCGCCATTATTAATCAAACCCTGTCACTGTCTCTTAACAAACTAAAAACATATTTCACGATGTTAACGACTGGAGTATACCCCTGTACCCCGTGTACTTTCGATCAAAGGGACCCTCGATTCCACGCCACACTCTAAGTAATTAAAACGATCTTCCGACAAATCGGTCTCGCCAGCACCTCCGCCGCAACATCCAGTATGCACCCCTATCCACGGCCAAACGATTCCTTCGACACACGCGCGAACACGTCGTTGGTCACATGGAAAACTTGCCACAAACGAAAATACCAGAGACAGAAAACAAATTCTGTTCCAGTCGAGGGGAGGATTAATTCCTGCGTCAGTTCCGATGAATCCCGGAGTTCGCTGTTGACGCACCGATGGCTCCATGCTTTATCAAACGCTGAGAAACACCGAGTGTCAACGCGCGATTGTCAACTGGTCGAAGTTGGATTATCAGCGTCCCATCGCGGGAACGGTTTTCGGATTAGAGTGCCCGGCGAAACTTGGTATCGCGTTGCGGCGTATCGATCATTCGACAGGGCGGAAACGCTGAAAAGGAAATATCGATGGTCCGGAAAATCCGTTGCCGATCGAGAGTGTGCCTAGCTCGATCATGCCTTGCCATAGACCTCTCGTTTACCGTAGGCCCACGTCACTGCAGACTAATCGAATTCGGATGGATCGTTGCGCGCGGTGGCGGAATAGTCACCGGAAAAGATACAAAAGAGGACTACCAGGCTGCGCGAAAATCGAGAAGTCGTTTGTTCGCCGAATTTATATGGCCGATAGAATTTGTGGAGAAGTTGGTTTATTATTTAGTAAAGTATTCTTCGAGAGATAAAATCTATGGATTAACCCTTTGCACTCGAGAGGTGACTTTCAGTTACCGTTTCATAAAATTTGGAAGATGGATATTAATTAACCCTTTGCACTCGAGAGGTGACTCTCAGTCACCATTTGTTTTAATGCTATAACTTAAATAATGGATTATGATGATTACATTAAGAACATCGAAATGAAGTTATTCTATTCGTTCGTTTCTCACTCAAATCCACGATTTTCGTTTTGTAATTTTAGCATAAAGAGTATCAGTGAGCTTATAAAAATTCAAGAACAGCTACGAATTGCAATATTCACAACGAAGAAATCTTCGAGTACAAAGGGTTAATATATCAAATTTAATGCAATATAACAGTGTGCGAA